ATTTTTGTCATAGGGTGCTGTATGGCCTCCATTGCTGCTGCCTCCACCGCCACACTGTGGCTTCCACACTCTGGTTTTGGCCCCGTGACTGCCCAAATGAGTGAAGTGTGCGGTGATTCTAAGATCGACGGCACTCATCTGCATGTCATACTGACTGACAGTATTGTTTCTCTTCCCCAGCAGACTCCAAGGGCATTTAAATTAAAGGTACAGTGTTCAGCACTAATATTAAGTCTCTCTGAAGCCTAGAAACACCCTTTTTTAAGTTAGACCCATTCTTTCACAAATGTTTGCAGAAGCTGTCTGCATGCCTAGGTGCTTGATTTTATACACCTGGGGCCATGGAGGTAATTGGAACACTGAATCCAATGATTTGGAGGGGTGTCCCAATACTTTTGGCAATAGAGTGTACCTGAGCTAGATCTTGATCCAGTGCTGTGCACGACAGCAGCATCTCTGCCAGTTCTCTGTCTTCTCATTGGCTGGGACATGCTCCCTCTGCTGTCAATCACAGCTAGTGAGAAGGGAGTGGAAGGCAGGGTTGAGCTGCACTTTGTCTTATAGACACACAGAGGCAGCTTAGGAGCAAGCAGCTTGCTTTGGGGGCCCTCGGCAGCAGGTGGGGCCAGGAGCGCCTGTGGGGGACCAGAGAGTAGGAGGATTAGGTCTGCTCTGTGGAAAACCACTGCACAGAGCAGGTGCGTATGACATGTTAGTTTTTTTTTTTAATCTGAACCTTTAGTATCACTTTAACACTTTTCACCTAACCTGTATGTAAACCACTATTAAAACTTCTACACATAACAATGTATAATTTCCAGTGGCCCCAGCAATAGTTATTTACTATTGTGCGTAATTCTTTTTTTTTATAGGGAAAACATTAAAAGTAAAAGGGAATATTGATGAAGTGATATTTCTTGATAAGTCTCATTTGTAGTCAGCACCTAGATATTGTGCTGTTCCCTGAAAGTAACTAAGAGTCCAGAATTTTATGTTGCCTACAGAAATGGCTGAATTTCATGTACGTCACTGGAAATAAAGGTTAATGAATGTATTTAGGTTATGAATGGCCAGTGAAGTGGATAGATGTTGTCATTGTTCTGCTGTACAATGTTCCTGCTGTGCTGAAAGAAGCTGGAGAGTAAATGATCTTCTAAGATTTTTGCATTTTCTTTCAAGAATGTATGTGACAGTGTACACACGATCAAATGCATTCTTGATACTTTGCAGCTACTCAATGAGCACAGTTGTAGAGCAGAGATGTTAACATTGTACATAACCTTTCCTTGTCCTTCCTTCTCTTTTTTTGAGCAGCATAATCTGCAGCTGTGCCCCCTCATAAGGTGTGTGTTCGGTAGCTCAGCTTGAATGCCAAGCTCTTGGATGTCTGTTACTTCCCACAGTGGCATTTGGGTCACTGTCCAGTTCTTTGGCTTCCTTTGCAGGCAGCTGGTGAATGTGTCCTACACTGCTCAGGGTCACACCATGTGATCAGCCTTGAAAGCTGAACTTGAAAGTTCTGTCTTACTTTAATGTCTGCTCACCTTTTACTAGAAAATCATAAAGTGGAGAGAGAGGAGCCTTAGAACCCAGCTGGGAATTCTGCAGAGCAAATGCTAGATGGGAGCTATGGAAGGAGAAATGTTGGCGATTACAGCACATTCCCCTACTGGGTGTCATAATTTAAGCACGTCAACTAGCTTAGAACTGCAAACACACCCTAAAGTACGTTCTCTTACCCAGCTGGCTGACTATGCCTTTCATGTTGGACTACTGCTTTATGGCTTCGTACTGCATAGGTAAGCTAAACATTATCTGTCTGGTAGTAATAGAATACATTACTTTAATAAAGGTATAATTAGATCGACATACCCCCATTTTGTTAAATGCTGTGTGGGAAAAATTATCATGTCATGTTTCTTTCTTCAGGAGAACAGAACAATTATTATCTATGTGACTTAGAAGACTAGTGGAAGAGCAACAGTCACCCAAGGAATGTTTTTGGTGAGTATGACTCAAAACATTTTAGATTTAATATTAAATATGTGTGCTTGGAAAAATGTGTAAATTATTATTATTATTATTATTAATACTAATTTGATATGACACCTGTGATAATTTATTTAAGCAGAGTTCCAGTTGAATAAAAAAAAAAAAGTCAGCAGCTACAAAAACTGTAGCTGATGACTTTTTTAGAATACAGACACTTACCTGTCCCTTGGTCCAGCAGTGTCCTCACCACGGCTGGTTTTCACGGCCGTCTTCTCTCCCCAGCGCCGGCATCTTCAGTGCGGGCAACCCACCCTGCATGCACGAGCAGTGCTACACTTTGTGAATGGTCCCGTAGTGTTCTGGGACCTGTCACGTGTCCCAGAAGGCTACGGGAATGGAGGGGGGAGGACAACGTCCGCTTTCGATTGCCTTAGGCGATTGCACTGGAAGTGGGAGCGGGTACCTGTCAAATACAGGTACCTGCTTCCCCCAGGTGCCAATCCTTAACAGGGAGTGAGGGACAAAGCCTTAAAACAGAACCTGCCCTTTTGGGTGGAGCTCTACTTTAAACTTACTTAACAGGGCAACGGCAACAAGACGTTGCAAATGTCTCAATGTACCTGGGGCAACTCTGGGTGCTCTCCTAAGCAAAAATGGTAGCACTGAGTATACTGTAGCAACTGAAGGGTTATTGTCTACATAGTTTACACAGGTGGTAAGGTTGAATAAAGACACCAGTCCATCCACTTCAACCTGTGTGCGTGTGTGTGCTCATGTGAAAAACTAATATCCCATAGTGGTCAAACTATTACAATGTTTTAAAAGGGTATGGTTAAAACAGAGCTACACTGCATCTGAGCTCCACAAACCAAAAACACTGTTTAATAATTTTTTATATTTAAAGCAAACTCACCCATTTATCCATGTCTCCATGCTTTATTTTGCTGAGGAAATCACTTTGAAAACCAGCCCTAGCATTTCTGGCTATAGCCATCCTAAGTAAAGGCAGATTATACATGTAGGATTTAATTCCTGGAATCCATCTGCCCTCAGCACAGGCATGACGGCAGGATGGTGTGCTTAGCTGAGAAAACCCCTCCTCCCCCTGATGACCCCTGGGATGTATGACATCATTTGACTAGGCATGGAAACCAGGAAGTAACTGAATAAAAGTAAAAAAAAAAAAAGTAGAAAACAATTAAATATAATTTGATATCTATTTACTAAAGCTAGCAGCATAAGGATTAAAAGCAGTTGACCGAGAGAGTGAAGTTTAACTTTAAAAAGTTTCTAAGCTACATGTTGTAGCCCCCAGGTAAAGGAAAGATAAGCCTTTGTGCATGAGAAACATCCATTTCTAATGAAGATTCAGCTTTTAACTCATATTGCTTCAAGCTGTATTTAAATACAAAACCAAAAAATGTAACATATTGCAGCTTACCAATTCTTAAATGTGGTGGCTGCATTAGTTTTCTTTTTAGGGTTTTCCCCTCTGTTTTCATCTGGTGATCTGGCCAGTAATACACCTCCTGTATTAGTGTGCCCCCACTCTGGATGAAGGAGCACAGGGGGCACCTTTGGAGAGCAGAATTGTCAGTCTGGGGGGAGCAGAGTGTTAGATGTGTTATCAGATTTAGATACACTAAACAAATTAAAGCCATACTATAGCTCACACTTTACACAATTACAGCAACAGTGTTTTATGGATAAAGATTTTGAATGATCATGAATAAACAAAAACAAAGCTGATCATTGTAAGCGCCCCATCAGTGTTAAATGGTTTATCTCAACTCTCTTACTGCTACATTTACAGGACTGTTTGCTCTGATGAAAAACAGCAGACTTACTGATCAGATCACCAAGTGAAAACAAAGGAAAGAAAGCCAAAAAAAGAAAACCAGTGCAACCATAAAATCTAAGAATTGGTAAGCTGCATTATAATAATGTTTGTTTTTTAATTCTTTTGTCTGTGCCCAGCTAGGTATATTTTCTTGCACTTCCTAATCTGGAGATGCAACGGAAAATAAGAGGAAATCTCTGAAGTAACAGAAAGTGTATAGAATACTCGTCTTAGAGAGTAGTCATAAGAACAGGTGCTTCGGTTGGTGGAGGTTTCTTGACTTTTTGCTCTTCTGATAACTTTAGAAAGCTAGATTTCCCATCACTATCTGTGTCAGTGACAATGGTCACCAAGACAAAAGGCTTTCTTTACTCTGTACTGTCTGGTTTAAAGGTTAAAGTGACTATAAAGGTTGTAATTAAAAAAACAAACAAACATGTGACACTTACCTGCTCTGTGCAATGGTTTTGCACAGAGCAGCCCCAATCCTTTTCTTTTTGGGTCCCCCTCTGATGGTCCTGTCTCCTCCCCCTGCCAAATGCCCCCAATAGCAATAGCCTCTTGGTATGGGGGCACTCAAGCAGTATCACTCCTGAGCTGTGCTCCTGTAAATGGACATTGTCCAATAACACACAGAGCACAGTTTGGCCCAGCCCCCCACTCTCTCTTCATTAGCTCACTGGCTGTGATTGAGAGAGAGACCAGGGAGAGCTGTGGCTCACATGCACATCGCTTGATCAAGATGGGGCTCAGGTGTGTTTAAGGGGGACTGAGATGGGAGCTGCACACAGAAGGTTGTTTACCTTAATACATAGAATGCATTCAAATAAAAAAGCCTCTTCTGTCTTTAGAGCCAGTTTCCGTGCCAGTCTTAGGCAGGCCATAGATTTGTTTTTGCATTTTTTCAGCCAATGATTAGATTGATTCTGTAGAGTGGGACCAGCCACACGTGGATTACAATTTGGACAGTCGTTGCTGAGCCAGCTGAATTTTTATCCATTTATGGCATGCTTTAAGAGGCCACAAGCTTTATCTGTGCAATCTCCTTGGATTGAATATTAGACTGTGTAGGCAGGCCATTGTACTACATAGTGTACAATCAGAATGCAATGTGTGTGGCCAGCTTTAAGCAGACAATTATCTTTTTTAACAGTACATACTCTAACTCAGGTCTTGAAATTTCCACTTGCCTGCTCACCAAGGGCGAGTGGAAATTATGGTGGGGGCGAGTGTGTCTCCCAGGGCCGTCTTGCTGAGCAGGCTCGGAGCTCAGGCCCGATCTGCCAATGGCACTGGGAGCCGTCAGGCTGCTCAATAGCTGAGTGCAGTGAAAGCAAAGGAAGGAGTGTGTGCTGTGCTCTCTGCCTCCCCCTAGAGTGCAGTACCTGGCTCTATGAGTGAACAACGAAGTACTGCAACTTTTTATAGGGGTATGTGTGTGTGTACATGTGTGTGTGTTTGTGTGTGTCTGTGTATCCATGTACATGTGTCTGTGTGTATGTATGTGTGTATCTGTACATGTGTCTTCGTGTATGTACATGTATGTGTGTGTACATGTTTCTGTGTGTGTGTGTGTACATGTACGTACATGTGTCTGTGTGTACATGTGTGTGTATGTATGTATGTATGTATGTACGTACGTACATGTAGCAGATATAAGAAGCGCCACAGAAAATACAAAAAAAAAAAAAACAAATAATAAGCAGCACCTCTAACCAAAAAAGGTAAAATAGTGTACAAATAAAAAGTGCGCTAATTATTCACAAAAAATGCAAGGATAAATAATAAAAATATAAATAAATTCATAAATATAAACATAAGTCCAGCCACCATAACAGTGATAGTCCACTTTCAACTTAATGTCAATCTTGAAAACAAACACCCATGTGTAAATCCGACACCAGATGAAATGAATACACTCACCAGAGCTATATGCTGATTATATTATAAACCAGCATGATAGCATTTTGCTCTGGAGCAATGATCTGCAGGATATCCTAGTAGAGGAACAGCAACCAATAGTGATCCAATCAGCACATATGGAACAACTAGGCAGCACATATGGAACAGCTAAGCAGCAATTGATCTTCCAATAACATTGGCAAAGCTCGAGGAATAAGAAGAGATATGATGGTGCAGTACGTTTAAAACCAGTAAAATTTTATTAGTAATTTTATTTGTACACTATGTATGTACATGTGTCTGTGTATGTATGTACATGTGTCTGCGCGTGTGTATTTCCGTGTATGTACATGTATCTGTGTGTATGCGTGTCTGTACGTGCCTGTGTGTGTGTGTACATGTGTCTGAGCGTGTGTGTACACGTTTGTGTGTGTATGTACATGTCTGTGTGTGTGTACAGGTGTCTCTGTTTGTGTGTGTTTGTTGGTGGCGAGTAACTCTTAAGGCCTGGCTAGTAGCTCAGGACATGAAATTTTAAGCCCCGCTCTAACTACTGTACTTATATGACTATATGATTAATACAAAAGAGCTGATAATATTCACAAATAATTTTCTGCTGGTGGTTCATTGATAAATGGTGCTGCATTCCTTTTTCCTAATTCTGGCCTTATTGCTTATTTCTGCCTGCTATCAGGAAATGTCTCTAGAAATAGAGAAGGGAAAGGCAATAGGCCTGGAGTATGAATATGTGTGTCCTTCTTTGGCTAGTCACTAGGAGCTTTGTTGTTAGTGTTGCATGCTAGGGAAAGGCAGAATATTTAGGTTAGCTTTGTGATCTTTTCCCGACCAGGCTTGGTCGGGTGCTGTCTGTGCTAATATCCTCTTAGGCCTGCTGCCTAGGGAAGACTACATGTGTTTGAAGGTAAGATCAGGTTCATAGTCTAGAGCTGTTCTCCCAGAAATGGATGGAGCCTTACTCAAGCTGGAGTACCAGGGGGTGCATTCTGCTGGAGGAGGTGTCCTAGATAGCTTTAAGCAGCTAAAGCCTCACAGAGGACTGGTAACTCTTACATAATGGATACAGCCCTCTGTTCATCAGCCAAGACACTTAAATTACAGAAATGCCAGACTTACCTTCAAGGAGAAGTACAGCCAAAGCTCAGTTAGCTCTCCTGTGGATCACAGGAAAGCAGGTTGTTCTGCACTCCTGTGACCTGTTTTCAGGCTAAAGTCTGAAGCAATCATACAAAACCCCCTTTATGGGACTTTTAGGCTTGGTTCACATATGTGCGGATGGTGCCGCTGCTGATCCACATGAAAATCCGTGCAGCCGCACCACCCACACAGACAAATGCGGACCCGCGGGTGAGTGCCATTAGTTCTAATGGCACGCCACCCGCACTGGAAAACGCAACCGTACTGGGAACCAAGGTTCCTGTGTGGGCTGCGTTTACAGAAGACGTGCAGGGACTTCTTCCCTGCGTGTCATGGGGCACGGGAGTCCATTCAAATCAATGGGCTCTCTTGCCCACGCAAAACGTGGACCGCACGGCCGCATATATGTGAACCAGAAGTAAAGGCAGATATAACAATTGTGTATATTTCAATAAAAGGCTTGTATGCCAAGTTTATTACAAAATATTCAGAGAGTATACAAATACATTGCATACACAAAATGCTGTATCAATGTTATTATATAAACCTCATGTGTCGATAATATATGAAAAATTGTAGTATGCCTGTCATAGCTTAATTTTTTCTAGAGACATCAGGACAAAACTCAACGCATTTTGGAAAAAAAACTCTTTCAGGGGATAAAGCAGGGGTATGCCCTGTCTGGGAAGCAATCACATTATTAAGTATATCACATTATTCAGATAGTACCAATACATGAACATGCAGTAATTTTACATATTCCATGCTATACTTACATAATAGATCAACAAATACATAAAAATAGTTGAAGATGGTTGCCAGAATAGGGCTGCCAACACATTGCTCGTCCAACCCAGACGAGGATACATCCCAGGGGTCAACACACATCCACTGGGGCTACCTGGCGTACGACAGAGAGGGTGAGCTAACAGGGATCCACATCAAACACATGTATGAAACATGAAAGTACTTGGGTGAAAAAGGGAATGTAAAGGATCCATATACCCATAGAGGTAAAAAAATTCCCATTAAACCATACCACTGAAAAATACGTGCTGAAAAATAAATTATAGATATACACCCTTTGTAAAAGGGACAAACAAGTGGTTGCCATAAATGTGAAATTCATAAATGTGAATGTTCCCATCAATGGAAAAAGAAAAAAATGATGGTAGAGGACTGATGTAAAATCCCCTGCAAAAAAATATAGCATCCCATAAAAACTTCTCAGATAGGTGAAAAGAAAAAGGTAATATAGGCATGGAAAAAAATATTAAACCTCCATACCATGCATAAGACAGAGCAGCCACCCACTCCCAGTTTGGTCTCAACTATGACTGAACCCAGCCTTACCTAGCATATATACAATTGTGCTCATTAGAGTCATCAGTGGCACCTGCTTAAATAAGGCAAGTGATTACCATGTTTCCAAATAAAGGTGTGTAGGTGGGCCCATCTGCAAAAAAGGAAAAAAAAAGAAAAAAAGAAAAAATGATGTCAAAGTAGGGAAAATTGTAACTCTCCTGTAAAAGGATGTGGTGTCCAAGGAGCCAATCTCAAAAAAGGAAAAGTATAAGCATAGAAAAAAATAATCCATCATACCATGTATAAACAGAGCAGAAATCTGCTCCCATCCAGATGTCATTATGAAACCTAGTCTTACCTAGTATATGTATGGGGGTATATGCAATAAAGTCATTCCTACTCCAATGATGTGGAACCCCCACCAATCTCATCCCTCACGTGCCGCTGCCCAACAAGGGCGGCCTTACACATCTGAAAGCTGCGGGATGGGACGGCGAGACCTGACACACAAAAAGTGGCCCACAATCCCCATCAGAGAGCAAAGGCAGAGCAGCCCATTAAGCACCGCCCCACCACCAACCAGTGGGCTAAAGTCACTCATCTGGTCCACGACACATGGTTGGAATCGACCCAATAGCCTTGACTGGTACCTAGCTCAGCCTCTCAGTGAGCCGCTGAGAGCCTGAGCCAGCCACCCCAGTGAGCACTGGGGGGGGGGGGGGGTCAGAGCAGACCGCAGTGACTGACAGTCACAGCTGTCTGCTCAGAGCAGCAGGGAGAACTGAGTGATCAGCAGTGCCTGATCACTCAGTTCTCATCCGCTGAGCCAGAGGGGGACAGATGCAACATCAGATTAATGCTGCATCCACCTAGGTAAGTATGGTAAAAAAAAAAAAACATACTTCTCTTTTAAAGACTCTTATTCTGTAAAGCTGGGAGTGGGAACTGGAGTCTATGTAGGACTGTGCTATTTTTTTTATCAATTGCTGCCAAATAACTTTCATGTGTCAAAGTGACTAGCACCAAATGTCATTCAAACCCCATTATTCCCCATGGATTAAAATTCTATCCCAATCTGCCTCTGAGGGTCCATATTATGTCTCTGATGTCATGGGGTGACATGTTATGTATAAAATTAATCATTCTTTATAGCCCTTTCCTATACACTGATGTTTTTCAGCCTTGTAACTGAGTGATACTCAAATGCAGCAAAAAAATATAAAAGCTAATTGTCGTGTAAATGCAAAAGTTAATTTTACAGTAGAACCATGTCCAAGCTACTTTCAACAATTTCCATATTTTTAACAAGCAGTAAAATGTTTTACACAAGTCCTCACTGACTTCTGTACCTGCAAGCACACTAGAGTAGTTCATTCTCAACACCCATGAAATCCAGAAGTTTGAAGTGCTTGGTCCTTACCCTTTTTGCCTATTGCACTTCCTTTTTGTTCATTGAAGCTGTCTTTTATAGTGATGGACCAGTAGAGACGTATTCGCATCAAGTTTTGCTGTGTAGACAGTGTGTCGGCCTACTGCAATGAGTATCTAATAAAGGTGGTTATTTATACATATTGCACCAATGATAGTCCTGTTCTCTCCGAGTGCTTGGGCATTTCCACCCCAGATACGTTTTGATGGTAGGTCCTTTTTCTATGTAGAATGTGGCTTTTGATTAACTATCGTCCTGATTAGTTTCGATCGAATGGGGGGAGACTAGGAGAGCGTTCCGTTTCTGAAAGATATTTTAGATATCTGCCATTATATTAACAAGGTGGTAAACAGTGGGACCAAGTGATACATCAAAGTGAACTTGTGATACATCAAGTGAACTTGTGATAAGTAAAACTATGTTTGTATGAAAGGCACCAAAGGTGCCTGCACATACCTTACTCACATCCCCTAATCCACTGCTAGTAACTCCTGGAAAACACATGCAAATACCAACTTTTTGAAGCCACATCACTTTACATTCTGTTCCTAAAATATCTAGTTGTATATGAGAACACCACGAGCTTTGAGGCTCCCGGGGTGTAATGTAATGTAACCATGCATTTTTAAATACTTTATATCTGTGCCAGCAGTTTAATAACTTTAAAACCAGATCTGCTTTAATAACCAAGCTATTTTTTTGCTCTACAAGAACATTATACTACTAAATAAAAAACTATTATATGAATAACACATTCATGTTATTTGGTAGTTAGCCTTTGCTCCATCCATAAAAGAAGTGTCTCTGACATAGGCAAGCTGATATGAGGAATTTGTACAATTAGCACTTCATGACCTATGAATTGTACTGTGTGTTCAGTGCATCTGTAAGGATTTTATTAATTAGCACTGTGTCAGTAACAGAAGTGTGACTAACCACAGAAACACAGCTGATAACATTTGTAATGTTATGAGGGGATATACTATATGTACAGCCAATGGTCTTTGATTATTAATTTGATATTGAGACAAACACAGAACTAGACCGAGACAGAGGAAGAAGCTTGATCCAAACACTCGGGTGATTATGCTTCTTTATTACTTTATTGTTTTATGCACCTTTTGTATAACATTAGATATTTGCCAATTTACTCTTAGTAAATGCTCATAGCAAACATATTCCAAAGACCTGTACCATTCTTTGTCAGTTCTCGCTAAACACATAGACGTCTTCTAAGAAAACTCTTATGCTTTTACATATTAAGTGTAGCGCTACCCCTGTAGGACCTGCTGAGTTTCCAGGTTCTTTCCCAAAAGTGCAGTGGAAGCCAGGCCCACAGCAATGTCCATTCACTAAAGTTTAGAAATCAGTCTATGGGGATGTCTTTTTTGTAATTTATTGCTGAAGAAGAAACGTGTAACAAGAAAGGAAGGAGTGTGAGATACTCCAAAACTTTTAGCACA